ATTTGCTTAGTGACAGCACATTAGAGATCGGTCTGGATCTGGATCCAGTCTGGATTTTTTCTGGATCCAGAGTCAAGATCCAGGCATTTTTTGATCGTTCTGGATTTTTTCTGGATCTGGATTTTTCCTGGATCCAGATCCAGAATCTTGTCCAGGGTACTAACCCAAATCCAGAATCCAGATCAAGATCCAGACGATTTTTATGTCTGGATTTCCTGGATTAAATTTGACCAGAAAGTGACCATGCGGCTCCAAAAATGGCAGATATCTGACTTCTTTCCCTTTCAAATTTCAAAAATTTTCGCCTGCGGCGCTAAAAATGAAAGAAATTTGGCTAAATGTTCTTCCAGAAGGGTAAACTCCAAGGTAACGCAGACCAAGGTACTTGCTCTCTTACAAAATTTTCAAAATTTTATGGTGGATGGTGGATTTCTAGACCAAATTCCTCTACCTTTCGTCAATGATGCACGGATCAGTCCTCCTTTATACATATACCTCGGTTCAGTCTTAATGAGAGGATATAGAGGGATTAGAAGTGATTAAGAGGATTGAGGTAACTAACAGATAAAAATGGATTTGCGAGGATTAAAAAGGATATAAGAGGATTTGTGAGGTTTAAGAGAATATATGGAATTAAAAGGATTTTAAGGAGATATTGAGGGATTTTTAAGATTAATCGGGATATCGGTGGATTTGTGAGGATTAAGATGGATATCTTGAGATATATGGGGATAAAGAGGGATATCTGAAGATTTTGAGGGATATACGGGGATTTTAAGGGAATAAGAAGATATCGGTGGATTAATTAGGATATAAAGTGATTTGAAGTTATTAGGACTGTTATTGATGGTTTGGGCATTAGTATGTATATCAAGGGATTTGGGGGATTAAGTGAGCTATTGATAATTTCAGAAGAGTATCAGGGGATTTGGAGGGATATCTAATGATTAAGCCGGATATCTGTGGATTTAGAAGGATATAATTAGATTTAGAAAAAAATCCAGAAATCCAGGCTGGATCCAGACCAAAAAAATCCTGGATTTTTTCTGGATCTGGATTTTTCCTGGATCCAGATCCAGAATCCTGTCCAGGCTACTAACCTAAATCCAGATCCAGAATCCAGATCCAGGATTTTCAAAAATATCGATCTCTACAGCACATACATAACTGACTTTGTTGACAGACATGAGATAGCATTAAGAGGAGAAAGACCCATAAAGGATATTCAAGGCAGGATGACATTTACGGGCCGACATAAAATATCCTTTCCTTTGATTATTTTAATCGTTTTCTACATCTAAACAGATGCTTATGTACACTGATTTCGTTATCCGGATATATAGGGCGGAAACAGTCGGATATCCCAGGCACCTTGATTTTATCTGTATCCGTATCCATGAGCAGGTCTGCATCTAAATACCCTTTGTAGTATTATTTATTAATTTTAGTTTATTTAAATAATGAATGAAGTATGGAAATTTGTTAGTGTGCCAAATTGTGTTTTGACATCATTTGAGAATGAAGAAATTTAATATTGCAAATTTAAAAATAATTTTAAAAAGTATTCTTTGTTTGTTAAAATAATAGTTTTAAAAATAAAACGAAAATTATTTATCTTTTAAAATAATTTTTAATTTTAGAATTATTAAACAATTCAAAATATTTGAAATAATTTTATTTTATGTATCTCACAATTAAATTTAGAATAAATATTTATTTTATAATTAAATATCAATTATTTTCCACCAAACATCCCTCCATTGCCTGGCCACATTTGTCCCATTCCCATTTGTGGCATACCTCCACCAACACCTCCCCATCCTCCTCTAAATGACATTGGCATTCCTCCCCAGAAAGGACGACCCCAACCTGATAAAAATTTCAAATTATAGTTTCTATCTAAAATAATAAAGAGCCCTTCAGATTTTTAGCTTCTGTTTATTGAAAATAATTATACTTGGTTCTTGAAGGAAAAACTTTTCCAGTAAAAAGAATTTCAAAAAATCTTTAACAGATGGAAATCAGTGTGGTCACAACCAGCTACTGACCTTCGGTTTTTGACTAATCCAAATTACATAACCAGATTTTCGGTTTTGGTTTTTACTCAAATACATATTTATTTTGTAAAGAATATTTCTAACAACTTATTTTCAGAAATTAACGGTTTTCTATCTTAATTTCCCTCAAAATCACTTAATTTTTAACAATTTTCGATTTAAAAAACCGGTCATGACCACCTTATTCAAAATTTCTCCTTTTTTTACCTCCACCTCCACCACCACCCCATCCTCCTTCATTCATTTGCATTGGCCCACCCATTCCCCAAAACTGAGCGTTGATGTTTGTTCGATAAAATATTTGATAAAAAAGAAAAATTGAACGAAACGAATAAAATAAAGAAAAATTTATTATTTGCATTTGTATTTTTAAATAAATTTATTTACAAAATAATAATGAATACAGAAATAATATTATTCAAAATTTTGGTAGAAACAATTTAACAATAGAATGCCCAAAGACATTTAAGTGAATAAAACTCTTCAGAAATAAAAATAAATATCCAAACTTGTCTAAATATGCTTGAAGAAAGTAAAGATCCGTTTTGTATTTTTTTGTAAATTTTTAATAGTTTTTTTTTGGTACTTTTCCGTTAATCGACCGCAAACTGAGTAACAGCCGAATTTTAACAGCTTCAATTTTTTGATGCTTGATCCAATACAGATGAATTTTAAATCATTCGAAAGCCCTCGATAAGCTCTCTCTTATACCCAACTGTATGGATCAGGTCTGATCACTCATAAAAAAGTTTTTTAATAAGATTATTAGTATTCAAAAATTAAAAGAATATTTCCAGAATTTATCAAATGTCGAATAATTCAAAAACTGATTTTCTAAGCAATTAATTACTTAAATTTTAATAGTCTTTTTTTTATTTAAAAAATAATTTTTTTAGAAATATTAACGAAATATTTGTTCACTTTTTTGCATGTTTCTCTACATTTATTGATTATTTCCAGATGACTCTTTAAAATTAAATTTATCATTTACTATTAAAGGCATGCGCTTATTTCTTAAACTTTTTTTCATTTTTTCCAATTTCTTTTAAGTGATCTTTAATTCTAAAAAAGTATTTAAAATTAAATTATTTCCCTGCTTAAATTAATTTACAAATTTTAAATAATTTTTTTCTTTTATTTTTGTAAATTTATTTAAAAGAGTTTTATTTGTAAAGAAAATAAATTAAATATAAAATAAATAGCTTTTAAAATAAAAAAAGAAAAACACGTGACAGGCAGCTGCTTTTGACAAAAAATATTATTATTATTATTTTCTCAAACAAAAATTCTTCAATGCCATCGATTGCTTTTATGAAGTGACATTTTACTATTTTTTGTTTCTTTAAAAAAATATTTTACTTCAATTACTTTTTAAATTAAAAAAAAATATTTTTACCTCCAACTGATATATTCATTTCTGATTTTTATTAGAAAACCCTCCACCTAAATCAATAAACTAACAATAATCTACTTTGATCTTTTTACTTTTTACTCTCGTCTATACTCCTTTACAATTTATTTTTAGTGCAAATACTTCTCAATTTTATTCATCTCTCTATCAAATTTATCCAAAAGACCGAAACATTTTATTTAGTGATTTATTGAATTTTAATTAAAAAAAAATTTTTAGATCTTTTTGTTTAAAATATAATCGTTAATCCTCTCAATTCTTTCCCTTCCTTTTTACTCATTTCATATCGTCCACAAATTATTATCAGTTAAATCTATATATTAAAAAATCTCTACTTTTATTTTGATTAATAAATTAATTACTTTAATTTTTAATGATAAAACGGTAAATTTTTTATTTTCTTTCCAAAATTAAATAGTAAAAGATAATAAATTAAAAATTGAGCAAAAATTAATTTTTTAAATGAAAACACTGCAAATATAAATTTATTTTTTAATAAAAATAACTGAAAAGGACAATTTACTTTTGGATTTTATTCAGTTTTGGTATAAGTATTTAAGTAATTTGGCAAAATTTGAGCTTCTTGAGGAGAACTAATCAAAAAAGACCTTATTGAGGGTATATTTGAGTTATTTGAAGTTAAAAGTTGGTAGTATGTATGAGGGATCCTGCCATCCTGATTCACGAAAACCGGGAATTCCCGACGTTTTTTAAGTCGGGATCCCGATGAAATTGTTAATTTTGGTATTTGTCGGCAGGATCCCAGGTATGAGGACTTTTTTATGAGAACTATTCTAATTTCCAATCTATAAAGACTTGTTTGTTTGTCATATTTTTTCTCCAATGATATTTGTAAATATTTTCTTTTATGAATCATTTGAGAATTTTTGCTTTTAATGCTTAAAATTACTTTTTTATTTCAAATAACTTTTCAATATTTTTTTGCATAAATTATTTTTAGCATTAAAAAACGTAAATATTGCTTTTCTATTTCCCATAGCAACGGTTGTGAATAAAATTAGCAGAAAAATTAAATGAGAGAAAAAGAGATAATATTTGATAAAAAAATTATATTGTCTATAAATAATTTAAAAATATTTTTGTCTTATCTTAACTTTTTCTTTTTTTAATTTTTAAAATTATATTTTTATTTTATCTGAGGTAATTTATGTTTAACCTTGCTGAAAAGAAAAATTTCTTGTTTAAATAAAAAAAATCGAGATACTTCCCTCCCCCTCATACATATTCCTTTCCACAAAATTCTTTTGTTCCACAACCCTAAATTTTCGCAATCCCTATTTTTCTCATTTGAAGTACCTAATTTAATTAGAATTTTCTTTTTCCAAATACATATTTATTTAATAACAAATTCTAATTTTAGATTTTAATAAATATTTTTTTTATAATTTTATTTATTTTTAAATAAATTAATGGGAACAATTACTTCTTCATATTTCGCTTATGGAAGTACTTGTGATGAAAATATTGACAACAAAAATAATTTAAATAAAAATGAAATATTAAAAGAAGAGATGGAAGAGGGAGAGAATAAAAATTGTTGTAATAAAAATAAAAAACCTTTACAAAAAAATGTTTTGCCCCTTTTGGGAAATGGAAGGTTTGATGTTGGTTGTGCTGATATTATGGTGAGGGGATTAATAGTAATTCTTGAGGAATTTAATTGAGGAAATTCTTGAAAATTATCCATTAGTTATTTATTCTATATCCAAAAACTTATCTAAATAACGGGTCAAATATACATATTTTTATTGTTAAAAATTGGTGGATAAACTCTATTTAGTGTTAGTATATGTACATAAATACTTCGATATAAGAGACATATGTTCTTTTGGGGTTTTCTATTGTATTTGATTAATTTAGACTTAATGGTTTTCCCTAATTTTTGTCTATATGTTTATGACTTATTGTTAATAAAGCTCCTGAGCCATAGCTATTTCTTTCCTTCAGCTAGTGCAAGAGGTTAATCGGCGGTTAGAAGCGAACCAGAAACTTCCGTAGACCGGACTTTTCCATTTTACACATTTTTGTTATCCATTACATCACGCCACCTACTGCACAACTTTAGTAATAAATAGCTATATGCTTTACAACTTGAGCAATTTTTTTCTTAAATGCTTTCAATAAATTCTAATTAATTTGGAGATTTAATTTAAAATTATTTAATTCTTTTAAAAGATTTTGAATGGAGAGGAGTGTTGTTGTTCATCTAATAATGATAAAGAAAAGTGTGAAGGAATTTTTGCTCGAATTTATTACCCTAGTGAAGCTTTAAGTCCAGATAAATACACAATAGAAAGGTTAAATGAATTTATGCAATGGAAGCCTGATGAGAAGGTTATTGAGGGATTGGCTGCTTATAAAGGGATGAGTTCTTGGAAATTAAATTTAATTTTGGATTGGATACTTGGCGATAAAAGGTGGAGAAAATATTTGGGGAAAATAATTTTTTTTGAATGATATTTTTAAATCATTTTTGTGAAGGAAAAAAATAATTTTTGGAGTAATTTAAAGGGTGGAATTTTTAATTTAAAAATTCGAATGTTGGAAAATTAAAAAAATACTGTTTTTTTTCCAATATAAAGACATTTAAAAAAAATCTTACTTTTTTAGAATCCCAGCCCGTTGGCAAGTCCCTCTTGCTAAATCTGAGGAACAATTTCCCGTTGTTGTATTCTCTCATGGAATTAGTGGAACTAGACAACTTTACTCAATTAATTGTTCTTCTTTGTCCAGTCATGGTTATGTTGTTGCTGCTTTGGATCACAGGTAAAATCTTCGGACAAAATCTCTTTCCGATTCACTTCCATTCCTTTCTAAACCTTAGGGTTGGGTTTTTCGAGTCGAGCCGACGTTCAAGTCATTTTTTTCGGGCAGGCCCGACCGAGTCTTTTTCGGGCCAAAATTTGCTGCCCGACTCGATCTTTCGGACCAAACCGGGCCCCCAACCCTCTAAACCTTCACTATGTCCCCTTCTGTTCCATTCTATATAATTTTCTTTTAATTTTTAGAGATGGCTCTTCTTGTTATACCTATGAATTGAATAAAGACCCGTCAACTGGTGAATTAATTCAAAAACATATTGAAATGAAAAAACTTCCACACGAAGAGCAAGAATACGAGAGTAGAATAGCTCAGGTTAATTAATTTTTTGTTCAAATTAAAAAAATATTTTTAGGTACAACAACGTACATTGGAAACAATTAACATGTTAAAATTATTTAAAAAATTAAATGAGGGATTGCGTAATTCAAATGTAGAAATTGTTTGTGGAAATGAATTTGATTGGGAACAATTTAAGGGAAGATTAAATTTGGATAAAGCAATTTCAATTGGGCATAGCTTTGGAGGAGCTTCAGCTTTGACTTCTTGTGCTGTTGAAAAGGGTTTTAAAGTATTTTTTTGTTGTTTTATTTGAATATAGGGAAGGAAAGGAAGAAGGTAATAAAGGCTGTGTTTAGTAATTCAAAAACATATTGAAATGATACAATATATCAGGCCCGTAGCCGGGGAGGGCCTTCGGCTTACCTTTGCCTTTTGGCGCCAAAAATTCGGCTCTGAAAAATTTTCCCCTCTTGCCCCCCCCCCCCAAAAATTCTAGTTATGGGCCTGGTTTATATTTGTTAACTTCACTAATTTGTTACAATAATTTGAAGGCCTCTGTGTCTATATATTAAATTTCCTTTATTTAAAGTGTTGTGTTGTTATGGATGCTTGGCTATATCCTTTTGACTGTAAATATTACGAAGAAATTACCCAACCAGTTTTAATGTTAAATGCGAGTAAATGGCAATGGCCTATGAATTTGAAGGTTTTTCTCTTTTTAATCTTTTTAAAATAATATTTTTTAAAATTATTTTAAGAGATTGTTGTATTTACAACAACAAAATGGAGGGGAAGGGAAATCAATGTATACATTGACTGATATTGTGCATCAATCTTTTTCAGGTTTTTTAAAGTTATTATTGGGATTTTCCCTGGGTTTTCTGGGC